GCCGGATGCGCAAGCTCAGCGCCCATGGCTCACGGGCCCAGCCGCTCCGCGGCATGTGGGATCCTCCCGGACCGGGGCACGAACCCGTATCCCCTGCATCGGCAGGCGGACTCCCAACCACTGCGCCACCAGGGAGGCCCGAGAAGTTTGCTTTTTAAGTACAGGTGTTCGTGCTGGCTGTCAGCCTCCCCTCTGAGAATGAGGGCCCCAGGAGGGCAGGTGCGTCCTGGCACCTGGACCTGCCAGCTCATAGCTGGTGCTCGGCCACGTCAGCACCGGTGGAAGGGTGCAGAGCGCAGCACCAGGGAGGAAACCAGCTTCTTTCCTCGGACCTACTGTGTCAGGCACACGTTCTCCCCTGCAGTACCTCCCGTCCTTGGTGTATCCTCAGGCTGCCAACGGGGCTGCCATCCCAGAGCTGCTGGGTGGCCTGTGGGAGAGAAGGATGGGGATTCTGAGCCACACGTCTCGGCCCCCTCGCTTCACAATCTCCCCCCTTTCGGCAGAGCAGCGCTCGCGTTCCACAGCGTGGCCCACGGGGTGCTGCCCTGCAGCCCTGCTGTCCAGGGACGTGAGCGCAGCACGAGCACGGGATCCTGTTGCTTCGCTGCAAGCCCTGCAGGAAGTGTCACCTGCGCTCTCAGCGTAAACGATTTATCTTTTCCATTTTTTAAAATCTACTGAAGCGTAACCCATACGGGAAATCGCTCGGATCACAGGTGCGTGGCTCCGTGAACCGCGACACTGGGGCACGCCAGCATGCCCGCCACCGGGTCGTGTCTTCAGGGCTGGCCCCGCGCCCTCGGCCCTCCACAGGGCGCCCCTCCTGGTGCCCGTGTAGGGTCAGGCCGCGTGCCCACAGCTGGCCAGGCTCTGCTCAGTGCCCGGCTGCCAGGCCCTCCGTGTCACCGCGGGGCGGGAGTCACTCTCATTTCTGGCCGGTGTTCCACCGGTCACGCGGACGCCCCGCTGACGTGTCAGTTCTGCTGATGGGGGGCACTTGGGCTGCTCCCGCCTGGGGCTGTCGCGAATGGCCCAGAAATGGGGGCGCCGGGTCAGGAGCCCAGCGTGTTCGGTCATCGTTTTAAACGCCGGCACGTGTCACGTCCCGCTGCCGCCCGGGCCCGTGTGCTCCCTGCGCCGTGCTGGCGCCACCGTCCAGTCCCCGACACAGAGCCAACAGCGAGGAATGGCCCCTGTCGGGGGCCGGGTCGCGACCTGGGCGGGAGGGAGAGCCACACCTGCCCCCCACCTGCTGGCCCCCACCACCCACCAGAGGCCCAGGGCCGCACAGCCCCTGCGCTGCTCACGTGGTGGCTGTCACCCCCCCAGGGCCGGCGGCTGGCGGGATGGACACCCCGGAGAAGATCTGGGCCGGCGGGGCCCCGCCCCCGGCGCCCAACGTCAGCGTGCCGCACCGCTGTCTGCTGCTGCTCTACGAGGACATCGGCACCTCTAGGTGAGGCCGGCACAGTCCTGCCAGGCTGCATGACGGGGGGCTTCCAGGGCTGTGTGTGTGTGCGTGCGTGTGCGCGTGTGCGTGCGTGTCCCACAGTGAGCCGCCTTCTGCACCCCCCTGCTAGGGTCCGGTACTGGGACCTCTTGCTGCTCGTCCCCAACGTGCTGTTCTTCATCTTCCTGCTCTGGAAGCTTCCGTTTGCTCGGGCCAAGATTCGAGTCACCTCCGGCCCCATTTTTATCACCTTCTATATCCTGGTGAGTTCATTCCAGTTGGTGACAGGAAACCCAACTCTAACTGGCTGTTTGTAATGAAAAACCAGCTTCGGGTATGGCTGGATCCAGGGCATTAACTGATGTCGTCAGGACTGTCTCTCTCTCTGCATCTCTGCTCTCCTCTGGCCTTATCGCAGATGAGTTCTCCCCATAAGGCATCAGAGGTAGCCAAGAGCAGCTCTGAGCTAACCTCCCTGCCAACTCCAGTAGAAGAGTACCTCTTTCCTGATGCTGCAGTGTTGACCCGGAATTCCCTCTGAGTGGCCCACCTTGGAACCCCTGTTCATCCCTGAGCCAGACTCTGTGACTAGCAGGGAAGGGGACACTTTGGAGCTGGGATGGTGGGGTCAGCTCAGCCAGACCGTATAGACTGAGGAGGGGTGGGGGTCCCAGGAAGAAAATTGGGAAATGGTTACTAGAGGGAAGGGGAATGGATGCTGGGCTGGGGAAAAAGCCCACTACATTCTGAACCCCAGCTGTGCTGAGTGACCATGGGCCAACAACTTGGTCTCTCTGGGCCTCAGTGCCCTCCTACATGACGTGACGTGGATCTGCTTTAGTTTGCGGTACTCCCGTGAGCACCCAGTGAGACTGCGTAGAGCTCCAGCCCCGTGGGGGCCCGGCACACAGTGGGCACACGGCCCTGAGTGGTGTCACCCTGCCTGAGATTGGACACGGTTTTCAAGGCACAGAGGACAGAGTGTACAAATCTGGGCTCTTCTGTTCATATGTGTCAGAAAACTGAACTTAAGCTCGCAGAAGCCCGGGGTGGGGTGGGTGTGGGCGGGGTAGTAGTGACTGAGAAACTGACAGTCCCAGCTGGATCCCAGGGTGCTGTCTCCCTGTATTTCGTAGATGAGGTACAGCACAGACAGGTCCCAGAGGCAGCGAGCGGCCGGTCTGGGATTAGAACCCAGCAGGCTGGCTGCACCATGTCATCCTAACAAGCCTTCCCAGGCTGTCAGCGTAGCCAGGAAGCCAAGGCCCAGAGGGGAGGGCCAGGCCTCCCTGCATCCCACCCAGGCGGCTCGTTTAGTGTGGAATCCTTCCATTCTTGAGGAATTGAGGGCTCCTGCAGACGTGGGGTGTGGGGTGCAGGCCCTGCGATTCCCGGAGCTCTTGTCCCCCGACGCCAACCCCCCCAACCCCTCTCTCGCTCACCAGGTGTTCGTGGTGGCGCTGGTGGGCATCGCCCGGGCCGTGGTGTCCATGACGGTCAGCGCCTCAGATGCTGCGACTGTCGCTGATAAGGTGGGGCTGGGCCTGCTGGCAGGGCTGCTGGGCACTGGGAGGGGGCAAGCGGCCCCCAGGCTGACGCTCTGCCCACTCTGTGTCCAGATCCTGTGGGAGATTACCCGCTTCTTCCTGCTGGCCATCGAGCTGAGCGTGGTCATCCTGGGCCTCGCCTTTGGTGCGTCTGCTGCTGCGGCCAGGCCTCCCCTGCCCCTCCCTGGCTGGGGGCCGACCCCACCGTGGTTCCCTAGGCTGGCTCCCGCTGACTGACCAGCACGTTTCTTCCAGGTCACCTGGAGAGCAAGTCGAGCATCAAGCGGGTGCTGGCCATCACCACGGTGCTGGCCCTGGCCTACTCTGTCACCCAGGTGAGGTGGGGCAGGGCAGCCCCGGGGGTCACCAGGGCTGGGCATCCACTGCCTTCAGGCCCGGAGTCAAGAGTTGAGTGTGCAGTGGCTCAAACTTTAAATGCAGCTAAGGAATCACCTGGCCGGCTGGTTAACAAGGCAGGTTCTGGGCCTCTCCAATTCCGATCCAGTAGGTTGAACCTACCGTTTCAGCAAGCAGTCCAGGTAGGGAGAGTGCAGGCCTGTAGATCCCACTGAGACCCATGCGTCCAGAGACCGCTTTCTTACTTGGGGGCTGCCCCTCCCCGGGCCTGTTCTGAGGGCTGGAGCTGGGGGGCAGGGCGTGGCCAGAGAGCCGGCTAGAGCAGGGGACTGAGCGCCAGGCAGAGCGGGGCTTGGTGTGGTGGGGAGCCCAGGGACGGGGCGTTCCAGGTACAGGAGCCCCTGAGACCCTTCCCTGCCCGCCGCTGCAGGGCACACTGGAGATCCTGTACCCGGACGCCCACCTCTCGGCTGAGGACTTCAACATCTACGGGCACGGGGGCCGCCAGTTCTGGCTGGTCAGCTCCTGCTGCTTCTTCCTGGTGAGCTGGGGGGTGGCCGGAGCCTCGGGCGCGGCCGGCTAGCGGGCTCAGCACTGGGCAGGAGCTCCCTGCGTCCTGGTCAGCGCCAGTGTCTCCGCAGGTCTACTCTCTGGTGGTCGTGCTCCCCAAGACCCCACTGAAGGAGCGCATCTCCCTGCCCTGTGAGCGCCTGGGGACGGGGCTGGGCGCGGGGTGGGCTGTTGGCCTTGCGGTGGCCTGGAGCGGACAGCTCTGGGTGGGCGGGAAGCAGGGAGCCGGTCCGGTCCCGACACCTGGGCAGGACCTCATGCGCGCCCACCCTGCAGCACGGAGGAGCTTCTACGTGTATGCGGGCATCCTGGCGCTGCTCAACCTGCTGCAGGGGCTGGGGAGCGCGCTGCTGTGCGCAGACGTCATCGAGGGGCTCTGGTACGCGGCCGGGGCACGCGGCCGGGGCCGGGGGCGGCCGGGAGGGGGAGGGGGCGGCCGGGAGGGGGCGGGGGCCGGCCGGGAGGGGCCGGGGCCGGGGGCCGGCCGGGGCGCTCCGCCGCAGCCCTC